CTTCCGATCTCCCCAAAACCCCAAAACCCCGAAGTGAAGGAGATTGATAATTATGTGAACTTAATTATTCTATATTTCTCTTAAATAATAAGAATTAATAATTATGGAATCTGCAAAGAAAGACACATTCATCAAATTCGCCCTCGCAGCCCTTGGAATCTCGGTTTCAGCATACGTTATTTACAAATTAACTCACAAAGAACCAGCTACTGCAGAACAGAGTCCCCTCTAGAATATTGTTGACTAGAGAGCTTCTCAGCTAACAAAGGTTCAAAATATTAACGCCTGTGTTAATGAATACATTCAAAATCAACTCCTTAAGGGCGAGCCTCTAAAGACCACAGAGGACCTCCTACTTAAAAAGGAGGATTTTCATAGCATTTAAATGGCTATGGAGTTATATGCAAAGGTATTACTATATGAGTCAAGAGTTAAAGGCTAAGAGGAGAGAATATAATTTTTAGAGAGGAATGATATGGTCTCATACACTGAAAAGGTGTATGATTAATTACATCCAGAAATTCACAGTTTTATGGAAGCTTAAGACCACATTTTAACTTTAGCTAAAGTGGATAGAGCCATTTATAATGCTTCTTAAAAAGTCTATACTAATGGCCTTGAAGGTATTCATGATGCCATTATATTGGCTTTATCAAGTCCATTCAAAGCTCAGAGAGGTTTTGGTAAACAAGAGACTATTAATATGCTTATTCAGATTACTAACAAAGCTTTGCAAAAAGTCCAAGAAAAAGAAGTACTTGAATGTATTTTGGAGAAGGATGAAATCATCTTTATTTATGATGCCCTCGTCGGAGATTATGCTCAATTAGATTACTAAGTTCATGCAGAGGAATTTAAGGCTCTCATTTCAAAGCATCAATTGCTGAAGGATAGTTAAGTGATTGCTCAGATTGACAAATTCGTTCAAAAGCTTCACGAACTCAATGAAAAATACGAATGAATAGATTATTCAAGCATTAAGCAAGTAAAATGTGATTCTTTTATTGCGAATTAGTGATTAGCAGTTGAATTAAATGAGGCGAAGAAAGTGTACTGTACTGACTCATTCAGAGAAGTTCAGTAGAGTTATTAACTCCTCTATAATTTCTGCTTTTTATTTAAAAACTTTATCTTCTCCTTAATTAATAGCTATCTCAATTTGAGGGGTTTTGGGGTTTTGGGGTTTTGGGG